GAGTGACATCTTTAATGCTCAGGGTTTAACAGGACGTTGGCCCAACCTTTGCAGCTACCAGCTTCAACTCTTATCGGAAGACTTTCCACAAGATTTAGGAGTGTGTTCGTGTGAATCTCTGATCTTTTTTCCCAGAAGCACATGTGTGAGGTCAGACTCTGATGTTAGATGAGAAGGCCTAGTTAGCACTAAATGATCCCAAAGGTGTTCTGTCAGGACTCTGTGAGAGCCGGTCATGTCCTTCCACTCCAAACTCACTCATTGATGTCTTAATAGACCTTGCTTTGTGCACTTGTGTGTAGTTATGTTGTAGCAGGAAGGAGCGATTCCCAAACTGTTCCCACAAATCATGAGCATGAAATTGTCCAACATGTCTTGGCATGCTGAAGAGTTCCTTTCACTGAAACTAAGGGGGCGAGCCCACTCCTGAAAAAAAACATCACATCAGAGTTCCTCATTCACCAAAGTTAACAGTTCGCACAATGCAGTCCGATAAGCACAGTGTCCTGGTAACCACCAAACCCAGACCGGTCACTGCAGAGAACACGTCTGCACTGCTGTATCATGCAGTGGTGTGGTGCTTCACAGCACACACACTTTGCAGGACGCTGGGTGATGTAAGTCGTGGATGCAGCAGCTCCATCCCACGAAGCTCTCTATGCACTGTTCTTGAGCTAATCCTTTACTATAACAACAATAAACAACTTCAGTGAACAGTCCAAAGATTTCATGGTTAAGGCCCAAATATTGATCCTAGCAACATCTATACTGATGGCAGTGGGCTCTTCTGAAGGACAACACCCTGATACAGCGAATTGTATCACTGAATCAGTGATATGGACATGAGCTCTCACTGTTTCTATGGGGCTCAGGTTGTCATGGCATAAGGTGGGGACCTGTCCTGGTTACGTTCAGTCGCATCTTGTTTGATGTGAAATCCACTGTGAATATGTAAATGTTGTGTTTCTGTTTTGTACCCTTTATTTGTGTTCTCTTAGTTTATTTTTGTGAAGGTTCTGGTTTCTGTTCTGCATTTCTATTTTTCCCAGCTCTTCTCGGTGTTTGATTATGTTGTTCTCAGGTTCTGGTTTCCATACTCCCTCTATTCTGTGTCCAGTCAGTGTCTGCCCTGGTCCCATGAGAGAGATATTATACCCCTTATGTCAAACTGAGTGATTTATGGCCACAATAAATTATTTATGAGCTCAGGAAGTAACGGAAGTAATAAAGGAAGTAATAAAATTACGATATTCATAAAAATATAATATTCATAAAAATTATGATATTCATCCAAAATATTCATTCATAGCTCATTGCTCCCCCCCCCCAAAAAAAAGGATTAATTGATTATTTTAAAAAGTTTTTTATATCTAATAGGATCCTTTTATTTTTAAGCCATTAAAAAAAGTTTTTACTTTTTTATGCTTAAAAAACACCATCTGGTGGTGGGTCAGCGCATGAGCGCGCACCACGCCTGTGTGTCTGTGCGCGCATGTGCGCGCGCCTGTCTCAGGACCGTGCTTGTGTGTTTAAAAATGTGTTAAACCAGAGTAAAAGTGCTTAAACTTGTGCTTTTGTAACGTTCAGTATGGCCAGACATACAGGTTGCATGCCTCGGGGGAAAACTTTATTTCAATTTATTTGCATTTGTTTAAT